CATAGGGCGAAGGAGTGGGGGAGCTCTCCATGGCTCTCTTGTAATTTTATATCCGTAGAGTAAGAGTGTCGCTGATGGAGTTTGAGCCATGTTTATGTATAAGTAGGGAACTGCGTGATCTCCAGGCATGGCGTCCGCCTCAAGTGCTGGAGGTCCCGGGTTCAAGCCCTGGTGAAGGTTGGGATTTTTTTTTTTTTTTTCCACGTGGAGTTCTAATAATTTTCCCTGGTTTCTAGATAGTAAGATCAAACGAACGTGTATACTGTTGGGTAGGCAAAAAAATCCTTTGGCAGTTGGAAATTAAAAGAGAATAGCCTAACAGCGCTGCATGGGCAAAATTTGGAGTTCAAAATCTATCCCAAGTATTTTAGGATCCTCACCGGTGTTACAGAGCTCGTGCACTGCCTGCGCTGAGATTCTTCGGACTCAGACTTGAGTCAGAAATAGAACGGATCACTTATGGGTTACTACCTTGGTTCCATGAAGTTGATCCGTTGTCCAAACCTAAACCTTATGTATAAGTTTTTTTAAAAAATGTCAAAGACCCTCTTCCCAGTCTTGTAGCGCAGCGGGCATATAGAGCTTGACCTATATACGCCCCGCCTATATACACACAAGCTCACTTCTGATTGGTAGTTCCTGAACCTGGCACCTTGTCATAAGGTTACGGGGGTGTTCCTCAATGCCGTTGATATCGCGTGTTGTATATTTCAGCACGCCAGCGCTTTTAACACTCTAAAAGCATGGAGAAACTGGCCCTAATACAAATCCTCTTAGAGAGTGCTGCAACCTGTGTCACGGGTATTCGCTTTCTCGGAATGAAAACTTAAATGCAAGACAAGACAGAAAGCAAACAATAGAGCGGGACACACCTGTAACCTTCTGGAAAGTCGACCAGCCCAACAAACTTGTGAATGAAAAGCGATCTGCTTTGTTTAGGGGAATTTACGTGAACCTAACCTTATATTTTATATAGACCAGTCAGCACTTGGTGGATGATGTGGTCAACTTCAGGCAGACGCCTTTACTTCCCAGGACTCTGCCTGGTACACATTTAAAGCTGGGAGCCAAGGTTTTTTTTTTTTGAAGAAAGAAAAAAAAAAGTCCGGCTCTGTCAAGATCTGAACTCAGGACCTTCGGATCTGCAGGCTAGAGTTTGGCCGCTGCACTCGTGTTTATGTGCTCGGTAATAATTATTATAATGAGCCGAATGCTAAATAGATATATTAATATATTTGAAATAATATGTAATCGATAAACAATTAATTAAAAAGTGAACGACTGTACATTAGTTGGGGGGGGGGGATCTCCAGCATTGGTTCCCTGTCAGTTTCAGATGTTTTATCGTATGCAGGATAGGCTATCAAAATAATCGCCACGCATCGCTACAAATGTACACTGCTTTCCAGAAATCTCCACACGTGTGTCACTTACTGTGTGTTCTATTTTGGGAGTTTCGAAATTAATAACCAAAGATCACAGATGTTTGCTGCTTTAGAAAAGCTGCAGCACCTATGCAGTTATAAATTATAAAATCACATGGACACGGAAAGGGGTGAGTTTTAAAAACGCACTGCAGTTCATTTACTGTGGCTTTTTCTGAATTTTCAGAAGCAAATCTCAAACGACGGTTTTCCAACATAACCACGTTTGTCTTTTTCCAGAAATGAGATGTACGAGAATGAGTCAGTTGAAATGTTTTCTACTTGTTGAAGTTGCTCATTCTTTAGCAACAAACACTTGAAAACGATATTACACGTGGGGTGCGTCACTTCCTGTCACGTGCCGGGGTAGGTTACAGTCACTACTCTTGTTAGAACTTAGAAATTTTCAGTGACGGTCTTCTTCGTTGTTTTTTTTTTCTTCTGCTCCTGTTGCTCCCCTCCCCCCTCCCCCTCCCCACCCTCCCTTCCGCACTTTTTTTTCAATGGAGCATATGTCCTTAACTAACTCACACTAGAACGACCTACCTTTTGCCATCGGGTGTAGTTCCCCCATTGTCCTCCCCCATACGTTTTGAGGTATTGAAGAACGTATCAACATCATGGCACATGGATGTAACCCATAAGTGCTAATTTCTTCTTCAGACTCAAGTCTTGAGTCCGAAGAAGGTCAACACAGTGAACAGGCTCTGTAGCACCGGCGAGGATCCTGAAATACTTTGGGTAGATTTTCAACTCCAAATTTTGACCGGGCAGCGCCGTTGGGCTACTCTTTTCGATTTCCAAATGCCAAGGGATTTTTTTTTACTTGTGCAAAAATGCACACGTGCGTCTTATCTCACTACCCAGAGACCAGGGGGAATTACTAAAAGTCCAAGTCCAAGGGGGGAAATTCCAGCCTTTACCGGGGATTAAACTTAGGATTTTAAATTTTGACCTCGACAGAAAAACTCTATCATCTTACCGTTGGTCGAGCCCGGGTTTCCAGCACGACAGTCCGACATTGTAACCACTCGGCTTACCACAATAACAATTAAAAAAAAAAAACACTTTATAATGGTTAGTCTTCAGAGCCGATAACAATACACCCTAGTTTGCCACAGGACTCTCCATTGTCTCCTATCATATCAACTATGCGATATCCATAGTACCGAGCCAAAGGGTTTACAACTCATGGTTTCTGGATCATCATCATCATCAGGTGCCTTGCCGACTGGCGTGGGCGATCATGCCTCTCCATAATCCGCGATCTCCTGCAGCATGTATCAGTTCGTGTGCCGACACACCTCCATGCCATGCAACAAGACTGTCAAGCATCTTCTCTCGTTGTCTTCCTCTATCCCTCCTTCCACAGATCTTTCCAGTGGTCACAACATGTTCTATTTTCCCTCTTCTCATAACATGGCCGAAAAATGATGACTGTCTCCTTCTGATGTCAGTGATAAGTTGTCTTCGGTCTCCCGCCTCTTTTAAAACCTCTTGGTTGCTCTTTTTGGCTGTCCAAGGTATTCTAAGCATTCTTCTGTAAAACCACATCTCTGAGGCCTCTAAAAATTGTTTGGCCTGCCTACCGATTGTCCAGGATTCACATCCATATGTTAAAACTGGATGTATGTAGCAAGCAAGAATTCTTTTTCTAACTCTCAATGACAAGGATATATTGCGCAAGATGTTTTTCATTTTATAAAATGCAGTTTTTGCCTGTCCAATTCTGTTTCTTATTTCAGTTATGCATCTTCCATCTGATGTTATCCATGTGCCCAGATACTTAAATTTCTGTACTTGTCTTAAAATAACACCATTGACTTTTATTACACATTTAGGAATAATTTGTTTCTTTGATACCACCATTACTTCTGTCTTCCCATTATTCAAACTGAGGCCCATTCTTCCACTTTCTAACACCACAATGTCTATCATTTCCTGTAATTCTTTCTGACTTGTTGCTATCAAGACTGTGTCATCAGCATAACGTAAATTGTTTATATTGTGCCCACCAACCACGATTCCGGGCATATCAATTAAAGATCTCATAATATATTCACTATATATTGAAAACAAATCAGGTGAAAGTACACATCCTTGTCGTATGCCCCTCTTTATGCTTTGAAATGTACCTAAACAGTTGTTAATTCTTATAGCTGCTGTTTGCTGCCAATACATATTCTTTATTATTCTTAGATCTTTCCCATCAATGTTTAATTTTTCTAACAGTTTGATTACTTCTTCATGCTTCACACAGTCAAATGCTTCTGTATAGTCTATGAAGCATAAGTACAAATCAGTCTTTACTTCTATAGCTCTTTCTGACAATGTCCTTAGGATGTATATGGCATTGTTTGTACCTTTTCCTTCTACAAATCCACATTGTTCATCGCTGATTTCTGGTTTAATTTTGTTTCTTATTCTTCTCATAATTATTCTCAGTAAAATCTTAGTCATGTGACTCATAAGACTTATTGTGCGATGGTCTTCACATTTTAAAGTGCCTGGTTTCTTCGGCAGAGCTATAAATATGGATTTTAAAAGGTCATTTGGAATATACCCACTGTTATAAATATCATTTAAAAGTTTAGTTATTATTTCAATTCCAAAATTTCCCAGTGCTTCGATTTCTTCCAGTGAGATGTTGTCTGGCCCGGGTGCTTTTCCTTTCTTCATATGATGTATTGCATCCTCAACTTCTGCAGTCATTATTGGTGGACCATCATTGTTGTTCTGCAGTTCTACGTCTGGTCTATTATCATCATACAATTCCGGTTTCTGGATACGTAAAAAAAAAAAAAAAAAATAAGACCTAGATGGCTTGTACTGCTCCAGTTGGCCATGTTTTGTATCAGGAAAACATATACAGATCGTTCTCATGAATACTGGAAAGACTAGTCCGGTCAACACATGCATGCAGAAGTCAGATGTGTTGGCTGAAAGGCGTAAAAATCATAGCTATGCTTTGGTCGGACACAACGCAATTACATTTTCAGATGAACGCAAAAGTAGAAGAAGTTCCTGTTCGTATATTATGCATATATTTACAATGCTGCCATTCAATAGTTCTCACTCACTTTTAATAGTTCATACCTCCGTGGATAAATTGACATTGTTACTGCTATAAAATCTTGCTGCAGAAATCAAAACACCCGCTCCTATTCAGAAAATCGCTCAGTTGATAGCATGTGTTGTGTGTAGCTGCCTTTTAATTCTTGCAGACTGTGTCATGTTCCATAGACTTCACATCTTTATGTATAGATTACGACCGCGATTGCAATGCCCGACTACCAAACCAAGTGATTTCACAGGGCAGATTTATCCATGCGTTTCGGCGAAGACACTGTAAATAAAATTTTCCTCCTGTTTGAGCAAAGATGTTATTCTGAGTTGCCAGGAAATCTAACAGAAGAGGATATTATTACATTTGTCTCGCCGGAGACGCTTTACACAAAATTGTCCGTAATTCGGGGTTGGAAGTATTATCTTTGGAGTTGATTTGTCAGGTAGTGTTTCCATGGTCACTACCGCAGTTTGAAAATGCTACCCATAAACGACAATGAGTCACGCCGTTTATAGACACAGTTTTGAATGTGTTTCATTCTTATTATCATTGCTGATAAACAACTCGCCTTCACGTGGTTCTCGACTCGATCTGCTCAGAGTTGATGTAGGCGTTATGGGATCGATATAGGCATTGCTTGCTGTGGGATACATGTGTGCATTTGGTATCGTTAAATTCAGCACATAGCCACGTTCGTTGAGAAGCTTCTGGGGGTGTGTTTCTTCGTCCGCTTCTGAATCTGACACCAGGACATCACCACCAGTGGATTCCCCATAACCCTCATCTGATGAACATACTGGAATCTTGCACATGGTGGGATCTTGGACATTGTAAGTAATCGACTCATACTCATTGTTCTGTGTTGTGGTAGTGGAAGAGCAATGAAAACTACGACGTCTGATCCAGATGAGCCAGGATACTATCAGAAATACGCTGACTGCAAAAATCAGTATTGATACAATGAGTGTATAGAAAGCTGTATTTGTTTCATTGCCATAGCTGCTTTGCTTGTGGTAAGCTCCTACGTCAATTACTTCAATGAAATGTGTGGTAATAGTCGCTATTGGTTTCGCATTAGCCTTGTTGTTGTACATCTCAATTTGAAACTGGTATCTGCCTGGTTCAGTTGGGTAGTATATTGACGAACAAGAAGTTTCATAATACGCCACGCTTATCTCTAGTTGTCTTTTAATATGCATGACATTATTTATTTCTGGCAATTTCCTCACCCGGGATTCTGAGTCCAACTTGGGAAATGGTTTTTCAATTTGCGGGAAAATTCGGCAGGTAATGTCAGGATATACTTTAGAAGCTTTGCAGAATACGTTGATAGAATGTTGCACGTCTAATGAGGCACTGCATTTCACATCAGTTGACAGAAAGTACAAGTTCAATTCGTAGGACTGCATTATCCAAATGGTATCTGAATTCTCATCATACTCGTCTTCTTCAACCATTATGCATTCGATAACCGCGTGCCTGCTGTCTGAGGTTAGATTCCTCAATGTCAGTTGACTAGTAAACGTATGTGAGTTGACGGTCGAGAAGACCATACAGTTGGATAAACCCTTGATGACATTCTCTTTGTTGCATTCTGGGGTGCTCTCGTCTGACATATCAGACGTTACAATGGCTTCTCTGGAACCGTTACCAATGATCGCCCATGAGATAACCCTGTTGGAGAGAACACGTAATTTATTCAGTGCGCAGACACTCAGAGTGTGTTGATAGATGAATCAATATATGTTCTACTTTTATAAAAATTATCTCTGCCAGTACCTTCTTTCTTGATTAACTGACATTTGTTTAAAAGACCCTACCAGAAATCTTCATGGCTGTGTCTTTAACTCTAGATTACTATTCCCAGTCATGGCCTAAAATTTACTTCTAACATAAAGTTGTAAAGTGCCTTCAAAATAAAGGTTAGCCAAAAATATAAGGAATTTTCAGGGAAGAAACTCTGCGTGTAGGGTTGGAGTGGGGGGGGGGGGGGGGGGGGGGGGGTCCTTGCTGCAAACCAAACCGTACAGTTTTATTCTGGTTTTTAGGCATTTTGCTTTTCCAGTCTTACTGTAACAGGAACTTTGTGGTTAACTCCGGTACTTTTATTAGACACTTTGTGATGATACCAGTACCACTTTTTCCATAGACAAAAACAACCTGATTATAAGGAAGTTTTGAAGAAGAACAAATACAAACCATACCCTATAGTTATATTGGTCTCTCCTGAGCAGTTGAGAGTGGCGGTGCTGCCTTCTTTGATGTTGACCACCTCTGGGATGGACTCGTCCTCTCCGGAGGCCACATTCCACAGAATGAGAATAACCACTACTATCTGGATTGCATCCATAATGTCACAGGTGAGAGTATTCAATACACTTTCCAAGATGACCTCTCAGTTGACCCCAAATCTGCCCCATCAAAGTTTGGTGTCAACCTTGATGCTGAAAATAAATGTGTAAATTTATTACAATACAGTGAGGCCTAGGTTGACTAGTGACCCGGCTAACGAATGTTTCGGTTAATGAAGATATTTTTCGGCCATAGCTAACGAATACTGTTGCGTGTTAATCGAGGTTGAAGAACATCTACAAATATCTTTGTCAGCCGAAAAATGCATTAACAGGGACATTTTTTTTTAGCGTTGACACAAGCAATGATATGGCTAGAAATGCAGCATTTTCCCGATGCGTCCTTTCTAAACAATTCCATGAGCATGCTTAAGAAGATAGAGATAAGAAGCGCTGATGAAATCTCATCTGAAAGGAATTAGTTTTAATTTAGGTCACTCTGGTGTAAGAGGCAATGAACGAGTGGATTGGCTTGCTAGCAGGGCCACGGTAGGTACAGGAACAGAAATGGACCGGGACGATATTCTCATTCCTCTAAAGAAAGCAGGACGAGAAGATGATTCAGGAGATAACGCTGAATCGGCAAGACTTAAAAGACTACAAGAACCTCATGTCAAAAGATGTGTCGCCAAACATGAACACTATACAGATAGCCTAAGAAGAATAGTAAACCAACAAACACATAGCTGGTGTTATCAGTCGCCACACGCTGGGGTATATACTGAAGATGGGATCCAGGCGCTTACGGACTTGTCCGACGTACAGTGAGGATAATTTTTCCGATCACTAACTATATGTCAGATGACAGAGAAGTAAAAACTGTATACACCAGGGTGATGAGTGGTCGTAAACCACGAGGGAGACCAAGACGACGATGGAAAGATGATATCCAGACCGACCTGCAAACACTTGATGTTACCAACTGGAAAGAGAAGGCTAGCTAGAGAGATGAATGGAGGAGGGTGATATCTGCAGCACAACCTCAAGGGATCGGAATGAAGAAGAAGAAGAAGAACTATTTACTATTCGTTATAGCCGCTACCGAAAAACAGCGAAAATTAACACAACATAACGTCATACAATTCATTAAAGAACAACAAATGAGATGGTCTGGCCATCTGACGAAAATGTCCTGGTACCAACTGCCACAGAGAGCCACGCTGAAGAAATATAATGAACATAGAGCACGCGGAAGACCACGCAAGAAACGGAGAGACATTATCAGGAGCAATCTAACAGAAACGAATACCAGCTTGTAAAATGCATTGGGGAGAGCGCACAAACGATAATTTCATCTCCCCCCAACACCTCGATGAGGTAAATGGCGGAAGAGAAGAAAAAGAAAATGAAGAAGAAGGAGGAAGAGGGCAACATGTCCGTATTGTGAGCGAAAATTTTGCACGAATGGCTAATGAAGATTCAAACGAAAGTGATTCTGAAACGAAACAAGTCAAAATAGGCACTAAAATTGGAAGTGAGGCGTTCGACGAAGAGAGGACTCTTTAAAACGAAAGCTGACAAGAGAGGTCAAAGGTACTGGTTTGGATTCCACATGATATCAAAGGGATTGCACAAGATACAACGGAATGACGAAGTAGACTGTAAGTCCTATGTGACATATAATCACACAAGGGAACAATGATGAGGATATTTGTAATATTGCATCTTGTTTAACTGCAACAAAATTATTAAATCGTTAGTATCTAGCTTGGCGTACGGAGACTGAAAAAACTAGTTCTGGTTGATTTACTTTTCTTGTTCTTCTCGTTCTCCGCGTTCACCAGCTGGAAGTTTTGGTTGTTCGTCCATGTCTGGGCTTTAGTCTTTTTCTAGAATTTAAGTGTTGCATGCACATACATTTTACATATCTGACCTATTTGTGTACAGACTATTGGTTTCTTACCTCATAGGCAGATGCACTTCATCTTCGAAGGAAGTACCCCCCCCCCACCCCCACCCCAATTAGTCGACTCTAACGGCAAGCTTGTTAGGGGGGCAGTGCGTCTATTCTAGTTCCCCCCCCCCCCACCACCACCACCACCACAATGGGCCCAGGATCCTATAGGGACACTACTCTAATTAATTCATGAGACGCTAACAAATAAACAAACAAACTAACAATGATTCTTACCCGAGAACAGCCCGAAAAATTACCTCCAGCCGCCACCAAAGTTTGCGTTTCTTCAATAATTCAAACAAATTTGTAACAAACCAGGCCAAAGTTGCTGTCAGATATTTTTATCCAAGGAAACCCCCAAACAAAATGAAACCATTCATGTTGTGCTTTGAGTTTCGGCGATAACGTAGCCAGTATTGAAAGCAGGATGTGTGGATACGGAATAGATTATAGGACACGACTGTAAATATACACACCCAAATAAGTCCGCGCTGGAATTGTGTGTGCTGTCGGTCTGTTTCCCCTTTATACTTATCAAGAAAAGATATAAAACCGAACGAAAAGTATACCAACAAGCTTCACAATAGGGAGCCTTAGTTAATTTTTTGTAACAGTATATTTAAATCATATCCTTATAATTAAGTATCACTCAGCTCATAATAATGATAATTATTATTACTGCGCACTAAAACACAGCTTAAGCTCTCTTGAAGGCCCCTCTCCTCCTATGATTGCTTTGTGAGGACAATCATGTCTTCTACATTTCTCTTGCAAACTTTTAAACAACGAAACGGAGGGCGAGACAAGCAATATCAGTTCCTGGTTATTTTAGCACTATAACCGGATATCATGTTTGGTTAAAGAAATATATGTATTTCCCGGAAGATGTTTCGTTTCCTTCAACCCTTGACTCGTTCAATCCCTAGAAACCTAAGATTTGCGTCGATGCAAAGAAAGCATCGGGGTAATTTGGTTGGGATGAAAGGGGTGAGGGCTTTGGGATTCCAAACCCCTTACATATTTTCTCTACATCATTCAATGAGTGTGTGGTTCGGGTCCTTCTCTATGTAGGTCCTTCTGACTAAATCACGTGACATTTTGGCGAAGTCCCCTTGCAAAGTGGTTACTGCAAGCCGTTTGCATGTGTTGCATTGTGTGACATTTTAAACAGTGAAGGCCGTGGTGTGGCTGAGCTTAATTGTCCTAAGCCTACAGGTTTCAGTGCCCCCTGGCTATAGTGTCTGTTTAACCTGAATTCCAACTATCACATATGCGTTCTCTCACTTTTCACTCTTGGTCAGAGGATATTAAAGAATCTGGCCTTCTACAAATCTACTTTCAAAATGTGTTTTCTTTGTTGGGGAAAAACGTACATGATTTTTTTTTCGAATCGAATTTCCATTTGCGCATTAGTCATTGCTGAAAGGTTACACGAGACAGAAAGAGCTAAACTTTCATTGAACTATTCATCTCTCGCGCTCTCATAATTGTGGGCTCGTTATCAGACTGCATTCTTGGATTCACGGTGGGGGGGGGGGCAAAAAAAGGGGGAGGAGCTATTTTTAAACAAAGATTTTCGCTGGAGCTGCGAAGTTTGGGCTTTGTGCAATGCTTGCAGCTTTGATGAGGGAAATAAAACATCGTCAAATTTAACCAGCATCCCCGAAGAAGGAGTTTTAGGTTATACTTGTGACTAGGTTATATGTGCCATATAAAATAGCTAAGCATGGCATGCCACCAAGAGTCCTGACAAGGACTCCTGTATAGTTGATGCGATCCAAGGAGACAGGCCCAAATACTGTCCCAATCGGCGAGGAAGTTGTCTAGGGGAGAATGTTGAGCGATGCTCTTGGCAGGTGGCTAACTGTTCTGCGGTGACAAAACCCGGTTCAATGAAGTCGACCCGATTGGCTTTGTGCATGTAGGTTAATTTATGGCGCCTTTTAAAATTCTTTTTCTACCCTTTATCGCACGATAGAGCATGGACTCTCAACCAGCTCATGCCAAGTCCTACTTTCCTTTGCTATCAGATGCAGTTCAACCCATGTCCTCCCTGCAGCGGGGCTGGATTAAGTCTTAATGAGGCCCTAATAAATATAGAAAGTCTTGAGGCCCTAACCATTTTAAATGACAACAGCTGGTCTCAGAAAACCTTAAAACCTTTTTAATATATGGATAATAGAAACGTTTTGTTGTTTAATTGTTATTAAAAGAAATAGTAGACATAATAATATGCGTTTGAAAACCATACAGAATTGGAAGATCAATGGCAAGGGGTAGACAATGATACAATAGACAAACAGCTGTCTGGGAGAGATTACAAACAAGACAAGAGACAGAGCTTTTTGGAGATCCATTGCAGCCAACCTTCAGTGTGGAGATGGCGCCTGATTAATGATTCATTGTATGAGATAGACAAACGCAAGCCCAACCCGACCCTTGGTCACCTTTTACGATATGCCTGGTAAGATGCAGTGTGACTATAATTTCCAAAGTTGTGTTTACGATATTTTAAAAAAAAATACAATTATCTATGCAATTTTTATATGTTTCAGTACTTGTTATTTGTACAATATACATATATTTATTACTGTACTTAATTTAATTAATGTCTCTATAAATCTTGAGATGTTTCTACTTATGTTTGTTTTGTATCAGCTGTAAGCGACTGGCATCAATGGGTGTCATGGAAGCAGGGACGCCGTCCAGGATGTAGATGTCGGTGTAATGTTTTGTGTGTGTGGATACGAATACACATTATATAGATTAAAGAAAGGTAGACGGTTAATTTGTTACCACAACGTCAAATATAACACCAAATGTCAAAATACCTGTTGCAAGTCACCATATCGTCTTGTCACTGTCCGTGTAAGTGCAGCGGGGGAACTGACTGACTGACTTTCTGGTAGTCTGGTAGTCTTAGTTTCAGCTTCATAGCAAACGGGTCGCCCCATCTTTGCTCCGCTCCTGTGCCAGCGAAAAACACCCAGAATGTTTATCAGTCCCTTGTGGAAAGATTGACAGACTGCTGTCTCAGCATATCTAGCATACACTCGCATTAACGCATATGGTAGCCATCCGAAGTGCTAACACAAACAGTCCAACATTAGAAATGCAGTTCATCATTGATGATAGCAGAACTTGTCGCCAACAGATCAGCAGTTGCCCGGGCGATCAATTTTAATACGGGTCCCGCCAGCATTGCACGACCGGCATCGCGCCATTTTCTGAATCTACAATTCACACCACGTTGGTCACAGTCGAAAAAACATTCCAAATGCAATCCGCAGCTCACAGGGTCACGCCATGCATTCAACTCAGAAGCTGGGCGACGAAACTATATCCAGTCTACAAATGGAGCAAAAATACTTCGGCCACCGTCCGGAAGAAGCAAAAAATTTGCCTCCGCTCCGAACAGCGCCGCTGTCTAGCGTCCATTTTAACCGGAAGTTTGTTAACAATGTTTGTTAACATTTTAACCGGAAGTTTGACTGACTTTCTACCCCACCAGGACATCACACAAGCGATAAATACCCGATGACACAAATTGCCACCATGTGGATGAGGATCGCCGTGGAGAGGTCCCAGAAACCGCGTTCAAACAATTGGCCATATTTATGACCTGCCTATATTGCGCCCCCTGGCAAAAGCCAGGGTGGGGCTTCAAATAACAAAAAATTTCATCTTACAAAGGACGAAACAGGATAGATGTAGCGGGGGAAGATCGAGGCCTGGCTTAAACATTACCCAGGTCAAGCCCGCCTTCCAAAACTGAAAAGGGCCGAAAGAATCGTCGACGAGGGATCTTTCTACTGATGACCAGTAGACCCCTGCTGTGCCTGCTCTCCCGTTGAGTTCTTCTATTTATTATTATTACTCTGAATTGTATATTTCATGGTGTCAATATTTTCATTTTTGTTGGTTAAAATATATTTTAGCTGTAATAAATATGTTGGTGTTTTTTCTTAACGATTAATATAGCACCACCCAGGGCTTGTTTCAATAGTTGGCTGTCCTCCGAATAACGGGCACAAAATATGCGGCGTGAATTGGGGCTAAACTAGATGGCTGTAGGGGATGCAGAAGCTGCTGCTCATGAGTCCCATCCATCTAATTTAGCCCCAATCCACAGCGGTGGCGATAGTCGCTGGAAAACCGCAAATTAGGTCACTGGAAGTGCGCAATTGAAACATGACTGAGGCTCTGTTAGGGTGTTTTTGTGGCTGCCATATTTTGTGCCCATTATTCGGAGGATAGCCCAATAGTTTCATTTAATCTTTTATTTATTTACTGTTTGCTTTAGTTAGTACTATTTTAAATTGTAAAGCTTATAAATTTTCCAGTAACTGTTTTTGTTGTATTCAGTACTCCATCGATAAAGACTTTGATTGAAACTTTCATTTGTATTGGGGTGCATGTTTTCCATTTCCTCCATTGAGCTTTCTAGTCACATTTTATGTGGTATTTAGTTTAGCACTTCTTGTCATCAAACAGATTGCTGCAGTTGACTGCGGTCACCCCCTGTTTAGAATATTCTATGCAACAGCACATCAGGTGGGGTGGCTGGTTTGTTTCCTGGTCACTTTTTCTTCCCACACAATTCTCAGAAAGTTCGCATTATCATTTCTGTGATCTCTGTGTGTGTGTGTTCCAGGGTACCATTGTTGAGAAAATTAGAATAGACGTACTGCCTCCCCACCAAGAATGTCTTAAGAGTCTACTAATTGGGGGCATTCCTCGAAGTCAAAGTGCATCTGCCTCAGAGGCAAAGAACAAATAATTTGCATACAGGTAAGTCAGATCTGTTGAAATGGATGTGCATGCTATCTTCAGGTTCTGAAACAAGACCAAAGTCCAGAGGTGGACAAACAACCAGAACTTTCTGCCAGAGATTACAGCTGGTGAACATGAAGAAGAATATTTCTAGGCATCTGTGCATTACTTGGGCAGTAAATTTTTTACGAGTTTCCTCGTCCTTACTCAAGGAAGGCAGCAGATTTCAGCAGGCTCGTGTGGGTGTCCTAATTATAACTTCTTTTGAGGATGAACGGGGTATCTGGGATCTTCCATCTTGGTCTGCCATCCAGGTTTAAAATTTCAAGATGGTAAACCTATAGGTGACAACCAGAAGTGGATTAATCGATCGTCCGAGTTCATGATTTGTGCGACACTCTCGGCAGGCGGCTAGCTTTTTTGCGGATCGAGACCGAGCCATATAGGATAAAACCTGTGCAATGAAATTGATCCTGTCCACTATAACTGTTTGAAAAAAAAAAAGATTATAAAACTGGTTATAAAACTTACTTGTTTTTCATTTTCAGAAGTTTAAAGAAGAAACAACTTGGAAATAACTGCTTCATAGAAAAAGCCAATATCAGAAATGTCATCTGTAAAATCATCAGCAGGGTTATCACGAGGAAATTATAAATGTTCATTCCGAAAAGGAGACAGAGTTTTAGTGAATGGATCAGCTCTTGAAAGAGGAGGAGACCGACTTTATCCTGGTAATGTTTGATGAGCTCAGTAACATTAAACTGTTTCTGCATCATGCAACATGCAATACATTCAGTGTTTACTGCAAATATTTTATAATGTTATGTAGTCTTATCCATGGCTGTTTTATAGAAAAAAAAAAAGTATGTACCACATTGTGTATTTAAATAAAAGGGTACTGGTACTTACCACAGTGTGTATTTAAATAAAAGGGTACTGGTACTTACCACAGTGTGTATTTGAATAAAAGGGTACTGGTACTTACCACAGTGTGTATTTAAATAAAAGGGTACTGGTACTTACCACAGTGTGTATTTAAATAAAAGGGTACTGGTACTTACCACAGTGTGTATTTAAATAAAAGGGTACTGGTACTAACCACAGAGTGTTTATCACAGTAACACTGAAAACAAAGGATGCATTAAAAAGGTGTTGATACTGCACACTGTTGCGTACCACCAGTTGAGTTGAGTTGAGTCAAGAATTGACATCACAGCACTCAGGGAATTCCCATGTATGCTCCGTTCTCATCTTCAGCAGCCAGTGCAGAGTTCCAATACTGATGGTACCAGTCACAACCTGGCTAAAAGTCTGTCTTGCCTTTCCTCTGAGTGTAGTGAGCCGGCCAGCACCTCTGGTTACACCCAGGTGCCTCATTCTCTCCAGGCCAAAATAATCTTCTTTCTCTACTGATTCCATTGCTTGTTCCCAAAGGGCCTTGACCACATCAGAAAGAAAACATAATAGATAAGTCACTGGAAGCAACAGGTTGATCACTAGAGTATTAACTATTATTTTCAACTTTTATATTGTCTAGTTTGTCTGCTTGTCTTAGTTTCTTTCTCCTGTAACTGTGAGGTCCAGTCAGTACATTATGTTTTGTTTATCATACTTCTATACTATTATTATTTAGGCATGTTTCCTTCAAAGTCAGAGTCATCTGCCTGAAAGGCGATGAACCAACAGTTTGCATTTAAAAAAAAGCTACATATGTAAACCAGATGTGCATGCAAAACTGAACTTAGTATCTGGAACCAGACTAAAGTTCACAAGTAGATAAACAACCAGAACATTCTAGTGGATTTGTTGTTGTTGTTTGTATATCACAAGTGATGATGATCAGTCCTTTCATCTGTTGGTGATTGGATTAGGTTTTGTGAGTGTGCAGATGGCTAAAAAAAAGCCAGTTCTAGCACTCAAAGTTCTTGAGCAGTGTGGATAGGGAATTGAGGCCTCATCTCTCTGGTGATTTGATTCAGTGTCTTTCCTGGCTTGTCTTTTCTGAATTGCTGTAGCAGCTTCATGGGCCAGAGCTCCTCGATGACGAGAGGACCGCCAGGATGAGTGATCTCATCTCATGCAGTGACTTCCAGAACAAAGGATGACTTGCACGATTATGGATTTTACAGCTGGTGAAAGTAAAGAAGAAGAAAAAATAATACTTTCCTAGCATTTCACAGTGTATGCTTTTTGTGAAAAATCCTCAGGAACAGTTGAGTACATTGGCTTTACAGATGGCTGCTTATCAGTGCAAACAGTGTTGGTTGGTGTACACTTGTATGATAATGGTATGTTCAAGAGAAATTCACAAATAAGATAACTGAGTGGTCACCTTTTTTCATTTGCAGCATGTTTTGATTCCTTTTTACACATTTTGTCTTTTAACTTTTTTGAAATGCATTCTTTGTGAAACTGCACAAAATTTTTTTTTTATTATGCTAAAAGGATTATTGGTTAATTAAAAATGAACAGCATATTTCAGGCACATTACTAGTTGTTCTGTCCTCCTGAGCAGGTATTATATAGTGGAGATTCTGTTGTTTTCGCAATACATTTGTTAATCATTTCTCATTTACCCAGTTATTTGTGCTTTTCTGCTAGAACTGAGGTGGCTAGCGCAATGTTAATCACATCACCCACCAAGTGCCGATTGATCCATAAAAGTATGAATCTGGTATCATGGGCCTTATGTACAACTATCGTAAAAAATAGTGTTTTACTTTTTATTTCAGTTATCCTGTTGGCACTATTTTAGAATTTTGTTTAAATATCCACACACAAACAAAACAATCTTCTTTCAAAAATTTGATACCAGCCAAGCTGGTAAAAAGAATAACACATTCTTTGACTAGAAAGTGGAATGGAGGGAACAACAAGATGTGCCTATTTGTCAAAGACATAGACCTTGACATTATATCCCGTAAGTGCTCTAAATCTTAAAGGGATGAAAGGACAGGATTTAGGGTCGACATTGTCAGTGATTTTTTTGGGTCAAATCTGCATTTTTATTTTTAACCTATTACATTATTTATATATTGATATTAGAGTGATGTATACAAATTATATCGAACAGTTAAAGGCACTGGGCTTTCCTGCTGGTGACCCAGATTTGAATCCTCATTTAGTTATACAAATTTTTCTGTTGGGGCAATAATAAAATCCCAACCTGCACAATCCACGGCGACAGCTCCAACCACGCTGCTTACATCTTCCTCAAATACATGGGAAAGATAACAGGAAAAAAATAAAAAGAAGAAGAAGCTGATACAATAAAACAACCTATCAGAAAGACAGTTTCTCGTATTTGGCCACCTATAGAGAAGGTAAAAATTAGGTCACATTCTGACAACTAGAAATATGGAAAAAGAGAAACAGGAATACAAAAAAAAAAGAAGATGTTTGACACACTTTTCATTACACAAAAATTTCAGCACACAAATTAGTACATGCTTTTGGTGTGCAAAGTGTGAAACAGCATGGCTATCTGTACCAGCACTGATGATGGTTGTGGAATGTTGGCACGTCTCGCTCTCCGTTATTCCAGATGAATAGTGTTATATAAGGAGGCATGAAAATAACAGCCCATGGTATGGGCGAATGTGACTAGAAAAACCTGCTTGTATTTTCCAAACCAAGATAAGGCCAGGGATGAAGTTCATCCTTCCCACAGCGCAGAGCTTAGACCGTATTGCAAAGATCATGTCTTGCCCATGCAACATGGTCTCTCTTTCATTTTTCTTGTTTACTCCAGAGGAAAAGTAACACCAGCATTTTGGTAACTAAGCATTCTGCAGAAGCTCTCTATTGGCCAGCTGTCAACCAAGGCTGATGGTCTAGTCTACACAGTCTTAACATCAACTCTTTTGAAGAAGTGCGACAAATGATTTATGACAACTCCCGCCCAGTTGATGTGATTACCAATACAGTTAGCTCTGTGTTGAGGGGCAGACGAAGTGCATGGGGGTTTATAGCAAAAGCGAATTGACGTGGCTTAGTGCAGCAAAGTCTGGCGTATAATATCACACATCTAGTTTGAGAATGGAGGTGGAGGCAGTCTCTGCTACCTTCTACTGGCTTGAGAATCAGCTGTACACACATGTCATGATTGTAACTGACTCACAGAGCATGCTGAGAAAGCTGGAGACAGGCATGCTTCATGTGGAGTGGCAAGCATCACTTCAGAGGTTCTTGGTAGTTAGTGTCCTTTGGATATTCTCTCCAGGTTATCTGAGTGTGTTGGAAATGAGCAGGCAGATAGACTGACTGGTTTTGCAATACTTGGTGGTGAATTGATGTACGACAAGCTAGATATTGTGAGGGTCCTTTGGGAGCAAGTGAACAGTGCAGAGCCACAAATAGATTATTACTGTGTGAGGAAAATGGTGCTGTGAGGAGTTACAAGGGCATCTGGCTGGCGCTTAGCACTCTAGGGAAAGACGAATCAGACAGTTACTGGTGCAAGATTTGGAAATGGAGTGCTTATGGGAGTGTCCAGAGTGGTATGATATTGATTCTTAATTCAACATTTAATTCTTTTATTACCAGACAGATTTACAGGAGATGCTAGTGATAAAATGACCATGATAGAAAACCATTCATGCATTTTTTCAAAGTGGCAATAAACACAATGATAATTTCAGTTGGTAAGCCACATTTTTTTTTTAAATCTTCTGACTAAATGTTGTAAGTAAGAGAACGCAATATGCTGTGGAGGGAAATCAAGAGACAGAATCACAGACACACCAGACATTGTTAGGGACTGAAAGGGTTAAGTTTTCAGATTGCATTTCCTTGTCCAAAAATGTGGCTTGTATAGTGAGATGACTTCATAGATATTTCTATCTTTTCCCCAGTGTATTCAAGTCATAATGGTGTCTACCAGGGAAAGAGATATTTCTACTGTCCAAGAGGTCATGGGGCAATGGTGAAAAGTTCAGATATTATCCCGCTCAACTCTGTACCTCGGAAGTGGCCAGTAAATGGCAATAGAATGTTTCCAAGTTATGAAGAAATCAAAAAGCAAAGAAGGCTGAGGGAACAATTGTGAGTATTTTTGCAATTGAAAAAAAAAAAAAATTTTAAAGTAAAGGACCCTTTTCCACCCTTTAGGCGTATAGGGCATTTAGGCTAGACCTATATTTTATAGACCAATCGGCACAAGATGGGTGATTTGGTCAGCATCATGCAGGCCCCCTTTACTTCCCGGGACTGCACCTGGTACCCACTCAAGGCTGGGTTGACCTGGGAGCCAAGGTCATTTTGAGATTTTAATTTTGTCACATCAAATTTGTGTCGCTGATTACAACCCGGATGTCAGCAAACAGTACACCACAGCAAGCCTTGATATACAAATCAGACAGAAAGTGATGAAGAAACCGACCATGAGAACAATGGACACACGGAATAACAGAGACGCTGGGAATCCCTATTTACGAAGCACACAAACATGCACTTTCTTGTAAATTATATTTCATCTCGACGCTGTAAAGTACTTAAGGACCATAGTGAGATGAGACGAGATGATGAATTTTGTATCAGAAATTCCTGATGATCTTGTCCTTCTGTCTCACTCATGAAATCTATTTCTGCCTTTTATCCATCAATGGAGCATAGACCCTCATTCAAATCACGTAAAGTCGTCCTATCCTTTGTCATCGCAAGCAACTTATCCCATGTTGTCCTCACATTTGTAATCTCATTTTCGCATTCACTTCTTCATGTGTTTTTATTTTTATTTTCTTATTTTTATTCTATACATGCTTAACAGAATAAAAGAATCGGAGGAAAAATTCCGTAAAGAATATCAAACAAAGAGAAGAGCACAAATGGAAAGGTCTTCAAAGTCATCGACACTACAAAGTATATCTGATAAGGTAAAAAAGATTGTTTCAGATTATAAAATTATGTACTGTTTCAAACAGTTTGTTGTTAAAGTTAAAAGTCGAGAGCACTGGATTTTAGATCGTTGCATTGGATTTTGTCTCATATGGCTTGGTCTCTCTCCACAGAATGACCAGTCGTCTGTCGAGAGTATTACACAAAATACAAACTCTATAGCCCCAGCAGCAACAGCCCCAATCCCTGGATCTCTGTAAAAATGACACTCATAAATGTATCGACACATCTGTGAAATGAACTCACGACCTTCACCGAGAGTGCAAGGCAGATGGCTCGACCACTTTGCCATGGAGGGCCCCCAAATTTGTGTTAATTAATTACAACTTACAATGCCTGTAAAAATCAAACTGAACAAAGGAATGAATCTGTTAATCAAGAATTGACATCTCCACACTCGCGACATCCCTAGGCATGCTCTGTCCCCTTCCTCAGCAGCCAACAGAGCGATTCACTGCTCACGGTGCCAGTTGTAACCTGATTAAAGCTTTTAATAAAAGTCTGGTCATCTTTAACCTTGTGTATTGATGAAAACTGTTCACAGTTGGCGGCCTCCATGAAAATTAGTATGAAATTTTAAAAGCAGTGGTGTTTTCAAAATTAACAATCGACAAGGCAGATATTATAAATTTATAATTACCAAGATGGACATATAACCAGACTGTGACCGGTACCATCAGTATTGGAACTCTGGGCTGGCTGCTGAAGATAGGAATAGAGCGCACATGGGAATGCCCCGAGCACTGCGGTGTCAATTATTGACTCAACTCAACTCCTCAGAGTGTGTTTTAGCCATCTGAGCCTTTGAAGACTGATCACTGAGGAAACTTCGTCAGTGCATTGTATATAAATCGGGGTTAAGGAAAATGCTTAAACTGGTGACAGTCTTGGTATTTGCATGAGCCACTTTGAAAACAGCACGAAACTGGACTAAGAAGGAACTTTGTGATTCTAAAAGATGAGTACATCATGGATAAGCCAAGAAGAACTTTCATTAGGATAATACAATATGTTAATGTGTTTTTTGTTTGTTTATGTTTATTCAACGGATCAACATCATGGCACACTGGTGTAACCCATAAGTGCTCCGTTTTTGTTCTAACTCAAGCCTGAGTCTGAAGAGTCTCAGCACAGTGCACAAACCCTTTTGCACCAGCAATGATCCTGAAATACTTTAGGTAGATTTTTTTACTCCAAATTTTGCTTGGGCAGTGCCGTTAGGTTACTCTTTTCGATTTCCAACTGCCAAGGGATTTTTTTTTTACATGCACAGCAATACACGAGGGCATCCAGTCTTACTACCCAGAGACCAGGGAAAATTACTAGAAGTCAACGTGAAAAAATCCCAGCCCTCACAGGGGCTTGAACCCAAGACCTCTAGCACTTGAGACCACGCAGCCCCCTAATACAATACAATATAAGCAAGTATAATAAAAAATACTAATTGGACATCAAAGATAGATGACAGTTGATACTACCTGGAAACAAATATATTAAACTGGACCACTAGAGAATAACTCTTTCACTCATAACACACTCAAAGCCTAAATTGGGTTGTACAGGAAAAAAGAACATGCACTTAAAGGACGGATAAAAATACAGGACCAAGACATACAAAGATGGCCAACACAACACGCTAGTAGGGAATTGCATTGAGAATGGCACAAATACACATCTTCGCCAATACATGTGGCACAAAGAAAGTAGACCACAATTATAACAGGAGCTGCTGAAAGTGGTCAACTTGTTTCTTTAAAATGGAAATGAAAATGGAAAACTTATGACAAAATAGTGTTTAAAGGCAGGATTGACTTTATTGCACTGGGTTTTATCCGAAATGGCTTTTGTACTGGTGAGAATATTGCTAAAAGCCCTGACATCGTAGCTCCAGCAACGGCCAACCTGTATTTTTATTTCTATGGAGCCGCCACGATGCAGCGGCTAAATGCTTGTTTGCAAATTAAAAGATCGTGGGTTTAAGTATGAAATTGTCCTAGCTTCCAGGTTGACACAGCCTTAAATAGGTACCTGGTAAAGTCCTAAGAAGTAAAGGCTGCTGTCATGGTTTTGGCCACATCGCCTGTCATGCGCTGATTGGTCTGAAAATAGAGGTCAAGCATTGTGTGCCCAATACACCCAAAGGTGTAAGAAAGGGTCTTTTACTGTTGACATTTTTTATACTCGACGCTCAGAGGAAGACCAAGGCGGACGTATAATCAGACTGCTACTGGCACTATTGGTATCGGAACTGCACTGGCTGCTGAAAATGGGGACTTAGCACTTATGGAAATGCCCTGAGTACTGTTATATTGCTTCTTGAATCAACTTAACTCAGCTTTTTACTTTCATCTTTTATTTTTTTTTTATATAGTCCGTACTGTGTGGCTTTAGTGGTCCCATCTATCCATATTCTTCTGTTTTGTGTTTTTTTCAATTATTTATGACACAGATGATCTCTCTTGCCATGTTGTCAGACCTGTCATAGATTTATGTAAACAACTCTAAGGGTGAAATAATTCTGAAATGTTATGAATAAAACAGATTTGTTACATTTATTATTGCAGGATCAGGAGTCAGGAGATGAACAGAAACAGGCCGACAGCACAGAAGACAACAGATTGGAAGAGTTGAATTTAATTAAAATGAAGAAATACTTTGGAAATGATGAAAAGGCAGAACGCATGGCAGCGACTCTAAGAAAGTTGAGAAGAGCTTTTGAACAGGGTCGCATTATGACTTTAGAAGAACAGGCCTAGCCAAGAAACACAGTTCATTATTTCTTCTTCTTCTTCTTCTTCTTACTTCCTCTGTTACTGCAAGGGAGGTACATGGTTGGGGTTCTTGCTTTTCTGGCTGCATCTACCATAGACATTATATATTGTTACAGAGTTTTTCGGTACTTTATTAATATCCTACCCCAGAGGACATCACAGGACAGTCCAATACTTTAGCGAGTGGTAAGACTGAGTGTCCCGGCTTTCTGATGCTTTTAACCACCCCAAAACATCTAGAACTGGCCCCAACCCTCCTACGTCCCACGAGAGAGTGCAGCCTAGGTCCTACGAATGCATGCAGCCTAGGTCCCACGACAGAGTGCATCCTAGGTCCCACGAATGCATGCAGCCTAGGTCCCACGACAGAGTGCAGCCTATGTCCCACGACAGAGTGCAGCCTAGGTCCACAACAGAGTGCATCCTAGGTCCCACAACAGAGTGCAGCCTAGGTCCCACGACAGAGTGCATCCTAGGTCCCACGAATGCATGCAGCCTAGGTCCCACGACAGAGTGCAGCCTAGGTCCCACATCAGAGTGCATCCTAGTCCCACGACAAGGTGCATCCTAGGTCCCACAACAGAGTGAAGCCTAGGTCCCACGACAGAGTGTATCCTAGGTCCCATGAATGCATGCAGCCTAGGTCCCACGACAGAGTGCATCCTAGATCCCACGAATGCATGCAGCCTAGGTCCCACGACAGAGTGCAGCCTATGTCCCACGACAGAGTGCAGCCTAGGTCCCATGACAGAGTGCATCCTAGGTCCCACGACAGAGTCCATCCTAGGTCCCACGACAGAGTGCAGCCTAGGTCCCATGACAGAGTGCATCCTAGGTCCCACGAATGCATGCAGCCTAGGTCCCACGACAGAGTGCAGCCTATGTCCCACGACAGAATGCAGCCTAGGTCCCACGACAGAGTGCATCCTAGGTCCCATGACAGAGTGCATCCTAGGTCCCACGAATGCATGCAGCCTAGGTCCCACGGCAGAGTACAGCCTAGGTCCCATGAATGCATGCAGCCTAGGTCCCATGACAGAGTGCAGCCTAGGTCCCACGACAGAGTGCAGCCTAGGTCCCACGACAGAGTGCATCCTAGGTCCCACGACAGAGTGCAACCTAGGTCCCACGACAGAGTGCAGCCTAGGTCCCACGAATGCATGCAGCCTAGGTCCCTCGACAGAGTGCAACCTAGGTCCCACAAATACATGCAGCCTATGTCCCACGACAGAGTGCAGCCTAGGTCCCACGACAGAGTGCATCCTACATCCCACAAATGCATGCAGCCTAGGTCCCTCGACAGAGTGCAGCCTAGGTCCCACAAATACATGCAGCCTATGTCCCACGACAGAGTGCAGCCTATGTCCCACGACAGAGTGCAGCCTATGTCCCATGAATGCATGCAGCCTAGGTCCTATGAATGCATGCAGCCTATGTCCCATAAATGCATGGAGCCTAGGTCCCATGAATGCATGCAGCCTAGGTCCCATGACTGAGTGCAGCCTAGGTCCCATGACTGAGTGCAGCCTAGGTCCCATGACTGAGTGCAGCCTATGTCCCATGAATGGATGCAGCCTAGGTCCCATGACTGAGTGCAGCCTATGTCCCATGAATGCATGCAGCCTAGGTCCCACGAATCCATGCAGCCTAGGTCCCATGAATGCATGCAGCCTAGGTCCCATGAATGCATGCAGCCTATGTCCCATGAATGCATACAGCCTAGGTCCCATGAATGCATGCAGCCTATGTCCCACGACAGAGTGCAGCCTAGGTCCCATGAATGCATGCAGCCTATGTCCCACGAATGCATGCAGCCTAGGTCCCACGAATGCATGCAGCCTAGGTCCCATGAATGCATGCAGCCTAGGTCCCATGAATGCATGCAGCCTAGGTCCCATGAATGCATGCAGCCTAGGTCCCATGACTGAGTGCAGCCTAGGTCCCATGACTGAGTGCAGCCCAGGTCCCATGACTGAGGGCAGCCTATGTCCCATGAATGCATGCAGCCTATGTCCCATGACAGAGTGCAGCCTATGTCCCATGAATGCATGAAGCCTATGTCCCACGACTGAGTGCAGCCTAGGTCCCACGAATACATGCAGCCTATGTCCCACGACAGAGTGCAGCCTATGTCCCATGAATGCATGCAGCCTAGGTCCCATGAATGCATGCAGCCTATCTACCACCCCCTGAAATATTAGATTGTCCTGTGACCTGTGGATTTTCCCTATTTGGGGTAGGATATTAATCAAGCACCATTTTGTCAGATATTATCTCTCCTTGTTCTTGATCTGTCTCTTGCTCTATATCCTTCTTCTCTTGTCTTAAATGCTTTGTATTATATGGCATGACAAGACATTCTTTTTAAGTTGGCAAACCATTTTATTTACTGTTTTGTATGAAAGTTAAATATTTATGTGCCTATTTGTTCTCTTATGATCTCATTTCTAATTCATCTCTTCTGGTGACACCGGCAAAGTGAAAAAAATCCAGTCATCTCCTTGTGAGATGTAATTTTTCGTTGTTTGAAGCCCTACTCTGGCTCTTGTCAGGGGCCGCAATATAGCCCGACCATAAATATGGTCTAATAGCTGAAAGTGGTTTCTGGGACTTCTCCACGGTGATCCTCACCCACATAGTGGCACTTTGTGTCATCGGGTGTTTATCGCTTGTGTGATCTAGTGGGGTAAAAATCTACTACTACTACACCAGCAACCTTTCTCAGGCATCTCATTTCCATCATTATTTTCTAATACTTATTTACTGGCTTGAGTTAGAAGAAGAACGGAACAGTTATGGGTTACACTCCTGTGCCATGATGTTGATCCGTTGATTAAACATAATTTTCTGCTAACAAATCTGTAAAGCTTGATTCAGAGAGCAGTGACCAGGAGATCTGGCCGACAATCAACACTCAGGGCAAAGGCAAGATGGACATACTAGCAGACTGTTACTGCTACCATCAGCATTGGAACCCTGTTCTGGCTGCTGAAGTTGGAAACAGAGCACTTATGAGAATGCCACGAGAGCTATGATATTAGTCTGCAGCTCAACTGTTGCTAACACTGCAGAGGCAGAGTGTTTTATTTTTGTACTGGACAAGATATGCCTCAAATGTTATACCCCAAAAATGCATAGGCAGGATTACAAATGTATTTACTGAAAACAATCACATTTTGTTACACTGGAACAATCTGTCATTTAATACACATTAAATGCAAATAGTTTTAAATCTCTCATGCAGGATAGATTTTTTTTTAAACTATCTTTTTTGTTAAACCTTAGAATTTCTGCCTTAAAAAAATGGTTGGCAGCATTTTGACTGTGAATTTTATTTTATGAAGAAAGATTTTAGAATGGTTGATAGCATTGTGATTATAAACTATATTTATTCTAGAAAGATTTTACGATGGTATGTGAAATCATGACTACTTTATTGTCTACGTGGGCTCTGGGGCCCAAATTTAGAAAGAAAAGAAAGAATAAATCCAATGCCTCTTAACAAGCATTTTATAGAAAGCCACTAAATAATGGTTTGTTCAAACTGCCTGTGTTGTGGGCTGAAAAGTGCAGGTAACACAGTCTATCTATAAACCACAACACAATGTGCCAACTGGCCCATTTAAGAGGACCTGCAAAAGAAGTTACCTTATTTCAAATAGGAAAATTTTATGAGACTAGCTGACATCATGGTGACAAAATAAAACTATTGAACCATTTTATGCCAGTGCCCTTTGGGCATATGATGCCAGGCTCATATTTTTGATAAGCCAGTTGGCACTCAATTTGGGATGTGGGCAACATCATGCCAGGATATCATGGTTATAAACTGTATTTTATGTTATTAAAACAAACAAAAAGTTCACAATTGTTAATGGCATTGTGGTGTAACTATACATGGTCATTAGGAATTAATAACAGGATTTTAAACTTTTATTATAAAAGAAGTAGTAAGTAAGTGAAGGACCCTTTTCCACGGCTTAAGGCATATAGGGCTAGACCTATGTTTTATAGACCAATTGGCACAAGATGGGAGATGTGGTCAGCATCACGCCGGCTGCCTTTAATTCCTGGGACTGGACCCGGTATCTACTCAAGGCTGGGTCGACCTAGGAGCCAAGGTCATTTTTAAAAAAGCCTGGCTCCACCAGGGAGCAAACCCATGACCTGATCCGCAGAGAGCGTCTAGCCGCTCCGCCATGGTGACTCACCATAAAATTATTATTTAGTGAATATACATGTAACGGAGTCGTAAAATGTTCAGAAAAGTTTACAGTTTTAGACCTTATTAACCTAGTACACTTTGATGTAGACACCATTCTTAGATCAGGTGATGTCTAGACGGTATTCAATCTCCTACTACATATTCTGGATACTGTTAAGCATTCCAGTTCCACTTGTTGCCTCCATTCCATTCTGTCATGTGCTATCTTTTCAGTATCATGAATCGAATCCATTCCAGTCTTTTTGGCTTCTCTCATCATCGTTTGTCATCATTCGTACACTCTAGGCACCGCTCACTACTTGGCTAGTTATTTTGCTGGAATGGCTTCATTTTCTGTGTCTCTGTTGTAAAGTGATTTTTAAAGACCTTATTTTGTTTAGGCAGATTTTACAGTGGGTTGTGTTAGACCCTGGATGTGAGTACCGACACCTTTTCTTCTAATATAAAAACCTGATTGTGATTATATAATTTATTTTCAATAGGATTTTTACAGTGATTGGTGTTATCATGTTTATGCACTTCTTTAAGTTAAAACAAAAAATAGATTTCCCAATCATTGATGACTTCATGATTGCAAACTTAATTTTATGCAGTGTGTTGAACTGCAGAAAAGTTTTAAATACCAATTTCAACAAGAATGGATAGTGAAAAGGGTCAGCTTTGCAAGAACAAAATTAAGGCACCAGTATAGGTTTTGTGACTAAAACAGGTCTATCTAAAGTGAAAATGTAACCTCCCCGCCCCTACCACCTCTTTTTTT